TAAAAAAAACACACATCATTGTAAAACCAATACATTCATCGCTCCACTCAGAATCTAAAAGGTTATTCAAAATCTATATTTTAATTAACATTTATTTTATTAGCAATAAGAAATTAAAAAACATTATTTTCGCCTGAATTCAGTCCGCTCCTGAGTATATTCTCACTGTAACATGGATCAACAAGTGATCATTGACCAGCCGATCTCTTTCTTGCCTACCCCTTGTTCCTGGCAAATTTACAATATGATCTTCTCTTAAATAAAGATTAACATCATTATTTAAATTGTTTTCCATCGGCTCATCATCTGGAAGTTCATCATGCATATCCAGGCAAATATTATGGAGAACAGCGCATGCAACTATTATTGCTTGTGTATTATTCAACTCTACTGTTAATCCTTTGCTGAGAACAGGAAATCTCCTTTTCAGGACACCAAAACATCTACAACATTGCAATGAATAAATGTATAAATAATGTTGTACATAGTTTTCCTATAATTTATATTTTACCTTTCTATTACATTTCTTGTCCTGATGTGGCTCTCATTGTATAATTGCTGGCTTCGTGTTGTAGGGTTGAGTAGAGGAGTCATAAGATAGGGCTTCACTTCATAGCCACCGTCACCTAAGAGGTAGCCTTTTATGACTCCTGTTTCAAATTTATGTTTGACATTTGAGTTATCAAAAATTATTTGATCGTGGCATGATCCTGGCCATCAAGCAACGATGTCCATAATTTTGAGCCATGGATTGCAAATGCATTGGGTATTGATGGAAAACCAACTTTGCCGGTTCCTAAATATTTCTGCATTATCTCCACCTATAAAAATTACCACAAACCATGGTTGAATAAAACATATCATAACAAATGGCAATAGTATTTATAAGTTATGCCTACCCAGTGACTGAATTTTTATGTGGGTGCAATCCACAGCTCCGACCACTCTAGGAAATCTACTGAGGCTATAAAATCCATTGATAACCCTCTTTTCATCAATATCATTTGATGGGAATGAAATGAAATTTGGCCTTTGCCTCGCTATTGCCCTGCAAACTTGGTGAACGTATCGACAGGCTGAGAATTCACTGACTCCAGCAAAGTCAGCAACACACAACAAAAATGACCCTGTGGCGAGATACCTCAGCATCATATACAACTTAGTAGGTGGTAATATTGCTCTGTTTCTGAAACAAAAAATAAATATACGGTACTATGTAATGAAAACAAAATGTTTTTTTCTGGAATTAAAGTCTACTTACCTTGTAGAAGGAGGAGATATTTCATGTTCTATTGATCTTAAAATTGTAGTAAACGTTGCTTTTGAAAGGCGAAATCAGTTTATAAAATCATGGTCATCATACAATTCAATGTAGTTGACCCTCTCATAAAAATTTTTTTGTCGCCGTTGCATCGCAATAACTTCGTCATCATTCTCGTTGTCGTCATCAAATAATATTCGACGGTACATAATTAATTCGTATAGAAACTTCAAAAACTCTTCACAAAAGATGGAATAAATTCAAAGAAAAACGAACAGACACTTTTCAATTTTGATCAAAGCACAGATTAAAGGCAAAAGAAAAATGAAAACACGTTTTTAATATAGATAGTATAGTATGGTACAAGTGTACAACACCCACTATCAATGGTTGTTTATATCACGGTAAACCGTGATTGTAACTAAGAGTTAGCTCTTAACACTCAGAAATATTGGGGGTTAAAATCTGGGAGTAAAGATTTTCATTAACTTGAAGTTACCACCTAACTCGAGGTCGTGAAATACGTTTTTCTGACTAACTCTGAGTTAGCAGTTACTCGCACTTTAACTCTAGGTGGTGAAACCGGCCATTAGTAACACAAAATTCTTTAAAATCCTTAGAAGTATATTCACCTCCATTATCACATCTTAAATGAGATATTTTACAGTTATGTTTTGATGTTACATAAGCCTCATACTGCATAACATATTCTAATACTTCACTTCTTTTCGATAAAAGATAAACCATTGTAAAATGGGTGAAGTCATCAATTAAAGTTAAAATGTACCGTTTGTTATCCCATGTCGCAAGAGTTATTGGACCACAAACATCCGTATGTATAAGTTCCAAAGGCCGACTTGACCGTTGAAGCAATCTTTCCTTAAATGGACGTGTTGTTTGTTTACCTCCTACACATGATTCACACACAACATTAAGTTTATCTATGTCTTTGGTAGAAATGTCAATTCCGTCAACCATTTTCTCTTTGATTAATCTAGACAAGTTTGATTTACATAAATGACCAAGCCTTTGATGCCATAAGTTTGCATTTCCCTCAATAACTAAATTAGCATTAGCTGAATCATGCATATTATACATATTAAAATCAATTTGATACATTTTGTCATTCCTTTCACCCATGGCAACTAAATTATCATCCTGTTGTATTAAAACCTTAGCATTGTAGAATGTTATTTTCATTCCTTCCTCTTCAATTTTTCTTACAGAAAATAAATTATGCAATAAATCTGGCACAAAAAGTACATTTCTAAAATTAATTTTTTTTATAACATTTTCAACATTAGAATACATGGATTGTACCTGAGTATTTGGCGTAGAGCATTTCTTTTTGTTTGGCCACAGCAATTTTTATAGGTTGTTCCAATTCTTGAATTTCTGTAAAAAATTATTTACTATATTTACCATGTAATCCGATGCTCCAGAGTCCAAGTACCAACATATTGTATTTGAACTTGGTAAATTCCCATTCACAGTGGCTGCAACTTGAGTATTAAAAGCGATGTCTTCTTTTACACTACTAACTTCCTCAGTATGATTTGCTTTACTTGTTTTCTGTTGTATTTTAGGCTTTTGTGTCTTTACACGACAATCAGAACGTTTATGACCTATTCGCCCACAGTTGTAGCATTTAAATTGAAAACTGGGTTTTTTAATTGGATATTTATTTGCATTTCCAGAAAAAGCTGCTCCAGATACTTCCTTAACTCTTTTGTTATTTTCTGTTTTCTGTAGTTCAATATCCAATAATTTACTTTTAACAAAATGTAATGTTTTTTTATCATCACTCATAGTTTCCAATGCAATAACTATGCTGTCATATGATTGAGGTAAAGTTAACAACAACATACTGATAACAAATGATTTGTCCATTTGCTGTCCAGATCCTTGAAGCTCACGTACACGATTTTCAAATAATAGAAAATGTGACTCCAATGAATCTTTTTCATCATATTTCATTGTCAGCAATTTTCTGATCAAATGAAGGCGACCAGCAACACCTTTCTGTTCAAAATTTTCTTTTAGAGTGTCCCAGATTTCCTTTGCCGACTTTTTTTCTTTCACGTATTCCAAATGACTATCAGCAATTTTCTGAATAATTAAAGATTTACATTTTAGTAGTCTCTTTTTATCTTTCTCAGTTGTTGGTTCTTCCGTGACGAAATTCAAAAGTTCTTGTTCTTCAAGTAATACTTCCATCCGAAACTTCCAATTGGAAAAATTCTTTCCATTGAATAGCGGTACTTTGAATTTGTCATCTTCCATTTCAAAAAAAAAATAAATTGAAAAATTTAGCAACAACCGAAAAAAACACGTGTTTGTGGTTTTTTTTTTTAATATTATTACATTAACAGGATAGGGTGACTGGGCCCATAACCTATTGATTTAAAAAGAAACATATTTTAATTATTCAAACGTAAACTTTATTATAATGCACCTTTTATAATTAATAAGAAAGAAAAGAAAATATCATGACAGCATGGTCGGTCTATACTCTACTTGACTGTAGTGTAGTGTAGCGCATTAAAAAAACAATTTAATAATCATAATACAAAAAGTAATAATAATAATAACATAACCTAGAAAATAGATAATAAGAGAAAGGAATTGTGTCTATCTTCAACACACTTAACATATATTGCTCGGTGGACTGGATATAAATCTGGAAAATTACACAGTAATGTGTATACTCAATTTATTGTTGTCAAATAATGAACTATTGGTTGAATCTAATAGGAAACATGTTGAAACAATAATAAATATGGTTATTCACTTAGCCTTTCAAGGACTTGCCGACAGAGATCACAGAGAGTAAGAAATCTTTAAATCAAGTTACAAATCTAGATATCCAAAATTTAAAACAAATATCTTAAAGCTGAAATGTGCCTCCAATATATACCAATAATTAAATTCAACTAAGAATATAATTTTTTTTTAAATTGTTTTAATATAATTAATTATACTTAATTCAATAATTACTATTTGTATATTTTTAATTTAATTAATATTTATGAAATATTCATATTTCAGGGAATTTTAAAGTAACTTGTATATTGTTTTACAAATATTATGTACCAGATTTTGCTAAAAAAATAAAAAATACTACCAACTATACAAGTCATCTAATAGAAGAGCAACATATTAGTCTGTGACACAATTATACATGAAATATTGAAATTAGAGATGGTATATTTGATGTAATGTGTGACGAAGCACGCTTAGTAAAAAGTCCTTATTAATGACTTAAAAAATAAAATAATTAATATTATTAAGTATTACCTACCTATACCTATTATTGTAGATACCTATATTATGTATTTTCAGTTGTTATAAAAAAGAACAAATGGCTTTATGTATTAGGTATACAAAAAATATAAATAACATGAAGGATTTCTCAGATTTATTGATTGTTCTATTAAACATGATGCCCAAGCTTTAAGTCTACATATTTTAGATTATTTGATAGTTTGTAATTTAAGTGACAAAGCTTAAATTATTGGCCAATCATATAATGGGGCTAGTGTTATGGCTGGAAAATGAAATGGTGTACAAGCTAAAATCTAAAACAAATATTTTTAAGCAGCTTATACTCATTGGATGGCTCACTAGGTTAATCTGGTTATTGTCGATTTTTACATATTTGTGAAAGTAAGTGTAAAAGACATGAGACTTGAAGAAAACGAAACAGATAATGTAGAAGAACTCTGGCGAAAATTTAAGAATGCAGTCTTATTATCTCTCAAAAAGACACCTCGTATTAATTTTTAATATTAAAAAACCATGGATCTCACATTATACATGGATATTGATTAAAAAACGAGAACAAATCAAAATAAAAGGTATTAGAGAGGATCGCCAATTAACTGAATACAATGAACTGTGCTGGATGATAAACCAAAGCCTACGAAAAGAAAAAGACCAATTTATAAACTCACTGTGTAAAGAAATAGAACAACATAAAACCAATCAGGAACCTAGATTTCTTTTTAAAAAAGTGGCAATTCTATCACGGATTTTTAAACCTAGACACCTACCTATAAAAGATGAAAATGGTATGACACTATCAACAAAGTCGGAAGTAATTAAAAGGTGGCAACAGTATTGTGAGAAGCTTTCGGCCTCCGATAATGATAATACGAATACAATAAATCTAAGAGAATTATGGTACGAATCTGAACCACCTCTACTACGAAGTGAAATTGAGATGGCTATCAAAATACTACGCAACCACAAAGCTGCTGGTTCGGATGACATTGTGGCCGAAATGATAAAAGCAACTACAGAAAAGGGGGTTGATATAATCCATAAAATTTGCTCCAAGATATGGACCACAGGCGAATGGCCAAAGGAATGGTGTGAATCCATAAGAAAGGAGACAAAGGAAACTGCAACAACTATCGTACTATAGCCCTAATTCCCCACACAAGTTAGATCATGTTATATGTAATACAAGAAAGGCTATAACCATATCTGCTCAAACAAATCTCTCAAGAACAAGCAGGGTTTGTGCCGGGAAGAGGAACAAGAGACCAACTCCTAAACATTCGACAGATAATAGAAAAATGCTACGAATATCATATTACAGCTATTTGCTGCTTCTTAGATTATACTAAAGCTTTTGACACCGTTAAATGGAATCTTCTATGGCGCATTGTAAAGGAAATGGGAGTGCCAGAGCACCTTATAGCAATAATAAAAATGATATATACCAATGGCCAAGCATATGTCCGCGTGGAGTCCGATCTTTCCGAGAGCTTTTGGGTGGGGCAAGGCGTAAGGCAGGGCTGCGTATTGTCACCGCTGCTATTTAACATATATGGAGAACGGATTATGAGACACGCTACACAAGAATGGAATGGAGGAGTGTCCATTGGTGGCAATAAAATTTCCAATTTAAGATACGCTGACGATACGGTGCTTTTAGCAAAATCAGAAATGGAAATGGCCAACCTTCTAGAACTAGTAGAGAAATTTAGCAATGAGGCAGACCTAAAATTAAATAGATCAAAATGCTCAATTATCGCTGTTGATAGGACAAGAACATTACCTCTCACGTTTAACCTCATACCCGATATAGATCGTAAAGACAGTTAAATATATCTAGGTGCACTTTTATCAAATAAAGGTGGTTCGGAGGAGGAAATCAAACGAAGAGTGGGTATGGCTAAGACTGCGATTGCCAAACTGGTCAAAATATGGAAGGATCATGACATCAGGAATGGAACGAAGTTATATCTAATGAAAACACTGATATTCCCTATAATGACATATGGTTCCGAATCATGGACCCTAAATTCATCGTGTCAACGAAGAATAGAAGCATTTGAAATGATTGCGTATAGAAGAATGTTGCGAATTCCATGGACCGACCATAGAAAGAATGTATCCATAAAACAGGAACTTAATATACAAACCCAAGACCACCTCTTGATCACAATTCAGATTCAAATACTAAAATTCTTCGGTCACGTGATAAGAAGAGATGGTATTGAAAAGGATATTATCCAAGGCAAAGTCGAAAGAAAGAGGAGCAGAGGCAGGCCCCCCACCCGCTATATAGACCAAATAAAAAATCTCACACGAATGTCAATGTCAGACAACATCCGGAATACAGGGAATAGAGAGTTCTGGAGAAATATATCTAATCGAAATAATATAATTGCATGAAAGTCACGACGTTCGAAATCGAACAACGATAAAGAAGAAGAAGTGTAAAAAAGTGTAAAAGAAGTATTGTAAAATTTAGTAAAATAGAATTGTCATAAAAAAAATGTCTATTTAATACATTAGACAGTTTATATATTCAGTTTTCTTATCCCACAAAAAATCAACGACTCATCGACATGCAAAAAGTTAGTGCTCAAAATTAAAACAATTGGTAGAATAAGCAGCAATACAAGATGGAATTGTAGGTACCTAAATTGTGATGCTATTTTGGACTGTTACCAAGGAATTATTCAGGTTTTGCAAAAAAAATAGAAAATGACAATGACGAATATATAAATGAAACTATAATTAATATATAAAAAATGTTACACATATTTATTTATTATTTTTTAAAAATTCTTAATACAACTTTTACACTTCAATAGGAATACTTTCAAACTTGCAAAAATGGTCTTTTATTTTAAATTTAGTTGTTATGCGACAAGTACTTAGTATCATTAATGTCCTAAGTAATATGATGCAAGATAAAAATGCCACCTTATGAAAATCAGTTGTGATGGTGAAAAGTATTATAACAAGCGTTGAAAGTTCTAGAACTACAGAATCTTTTATTGATATTTGGCAGTGAATAGAAAAATTTACAGATGACAATACTATTTTAATGTATACTCCTTACCAAGCTCTAGGTTTATTTTCTAATTTGAGATTTAATTACCTAAGTGTTTATATAATATTAATATTTATTTAAAAAAAATTCCATTTAGATTCTAAGAGAAAAAGAAGAGAGTCTAACCATACTAAAGAGTTTATGGTAACTACTACAACAAGTGCTATGTATGAACCAGTTGAGTCTACCAAATCTGTTAGTGATTATAATAGAACAAAGATTAATTATAAGATATTAGACTGCATTATAGAAAATTTGAAAAAAGACTAGCTAGTTTAATTATTTAAACATTTGTTCATACATTTTAAATACTTGTAACAGTTTCTTCGTCTAATTCAGAGTCTGATAAATTGACAGGCATCGTATACTGGTCGAACTCTTCTAAAGATTTTCCCTTAAGCTCATGCAGTTTTCCAGACTCCATGGTCAATAAAATTTTGCTCACTCTGCTTATTTGTAATGTTTCATCTGGTAAACGATAATATTCATTATGGATTGCTAAATCGTGGCCCATAAAGTTTGTCAATTGTTCTCTGTCACTGTTTGATAGGTTCAGTAATTGGGACATAGTAGCTATATGCTTTCGTAGCTTAGTAGATCGCAATTGATCCGGATCAGAAGCCCCACATGCGTCTGCAGATTTCCGTAGACAATCTGTCCCACGGTAAGTTCCGTCTACGGTGTAAGGAATAGCAAAAATATAAGGATTTGACTCCAAAATACCAAAAGAACTTCTTCTATTTAATATTACATCTAATGTTTCTTTCAAAACTGGTGTAAGTAGAACAGGTACACCTCTCCATTTCTTTCCTCTGATTACAAATCTGACAAAGTTTTTGGAAAGTCTGGCTTCAACCTCGGTGAGTGATTTTATTATTTCATTTTGCATTTTAGTTTGATCTCTGTTCAAATAATCGTTGACTTTGATTCTTTCGACTTCACCGGACCTTCGACGATTTAGTAAAATAATTTGTGATAGCAAACATTGGCAGACCGTTTTATAAGTAACTTCAGTGTACAACCTTTTAGATTCTGAGCGGAGCGATGAATGTATTGGTTTTACAATGATGTGTGTTTTTTTTTATATTTTTATATTTTTATATTTTTGTGTCTGTCATCACGTTTTGGGACAGTAAAAGTGCTTTTATTTTCTTCATCAGTAGCTTTTCTGATAGGAAAGTGAAACTAGTTGGTACTTTGGGGGGTCAAAAGTAAACATTTCCCAGTAGTTTTCACAAGCGCCGGGAAAAACAACATAAAAATTAAGGAAAAACGGGAATTTTTACGCAAAATTGGTTTTCCAAAAAATCGATTTTGGTTATTGGTGTAACTGTAAAACAAATGAACGTAAATACATGAAATTTTCACTGGTTGTTTATATTTGCATTTTCTATACACGATAACATTTTCAAAATATTTTGATTTATTTTGAACTGTTTAGGGACATTTTCATTTTTCATTTGTTTTTAGTTTTTTTTCTAAAAATATCAATACAATTTTATTTGTTGGTTGCGAAAGCTTGAAAATTTAATAGAAGGCTTCTAATATGTTGTTTCAAAGGCAGATGAAAAATATTAAAAATCCTTAGTCACAATTTTTTTTATAAGCATTTAAAGTTCAAAAATTGACAAAATATGGAAAAATCACGAAAATTAGCAAATTATTTTGAGTTAAAAATTCGTAAAAATTTTTCTTTTTAAATCTAAGATTTGAAAATGAAACACAAGATTCCTTATAAGATTATCTACCTTTATCAATAAAAAAATCTCTACCGGACAGTCAAATTAAATTTTTATGAGCGTTTGAAATTCAAATTTTTAAAACATTGGATTTTCACTCGATTACTCATGTAGCGATTTACTTATTTTGTTGCAATTCAAAAACGAACAACTGTAGATACATGAAAATTTCACTGAATGTTTAAATTAGCATTTTCTATAGACCATACAATTTTGAAAATATTTTGACTCTTTTTGAGCTGTTTATGGACATTTACAGCTTTCAATTTTTTTTAGTTTTTTTTTCTATAAATATCAATAAAGTTTTATCTGTTGGGCCAAAAAGTGTAAAAATTTAATACAAGGCTCCTGATATATTGATACAATAGCAGTTGAAAAATATTAAAAATACATAGGCACAGTTTTTTTTTATAAGCATTTAAAGATCAAATGTTGACAAAATTTATCAAAATCTCGAAAATTATCAATCATTGTAATTAATAAATTATAAAATGTTCAGTTTTTATAGCTAAGGATTGAAAATTTAAAACAAAGGTTCTCATAAATAGTTCATACTGTAACCAAAAAATCCAAAAAATATATTAACACAGTTATTTTTTATAGACATTTTAAATTCAAATTTGGACGAAATTACATATTAAAAAACCTAGAATAAGTATTTTAGTTTTTTTGTTGTGATTGAATAATATTATTCGTGGGTACTTGAAAGTAGTTGAAACTTCTAAAATGTATTATTATTATATATCTATGATAGTATCACGGTTTTTGTTGATGTTTAACGCGTTATAAGTACCTAATGGATATTGTGATATGATTAATTTGGAATTCATTATAGGTCAATTTTTTTAATACCATAGATAAGTATATAATATGTCTTATACATACACTGACATACCGTCACCGCTCAGAATCGTTTTCCTTATACAATGATATTATATCATTGAATTCAAATTTAATACCATCCATTATACAGTGACCCACTTGTAACCTACTGTACAGCAGAGCGACACCCACTTGCCCACCTTTTTTCAATTAAATTTTTACCTTCAATCATTTCATCTAATAAATAGTTATGTAATAATTGTATATCATCAGCGTTGGGCAGCTTTATTGATTTGTTAAATTTCTTTTTGCTCATATCCTGGATTGCATTAGATGAAATGGCAAAATTCCACTCTATTTGGAAAATTTTTTTAAAATTTCTTAGCGTCTGCAACTCTTCTTCGCTTTTGCCTTCGATTAAAGATTGACTTTCCAAAATGTCACAGCATTATAGAATAGAATGTCCTATTTTTAACGCATTTAATGGATTGATGTAAGTTTTTTTATCTTCGTCGTAACCGCTTAATATTTTGGCTGCTTCCACAAATGTTTTAAAATAATGCGGTAGTAACTTCCTAAAGAACAAGCTGGTTTCAGAAGTGGAAGAAACTGCTGCGAACAAGTGCTGGCCCTAACAACGCATGAAGAAAATGGATTTAAAGATAAGCTGAAGTCCGGGGCAGTGTTCCTAGATCTTTCGGCAGCTTACGACACCGTCTGGAAAAGAGGTCTTCTACTCAAATTGGCAAAGATCCTTAAATGCAAAACCACATTACACCTATTGGAGCAGACACTGTCCAACAGAAACTTTAAAGTCTATCTTAATGATGAAGTAAGCCTAAGAAAGATTGTACAAAATGGGCTTCCACAAGGATCAGTTCTCTTACCTACACTGTTTAACGTATACACCGCCGACATAGCGGAAACAAAATCAAGGAAATTCATGTACGCGGACGATATAGGCCTAGTAGCCCAGGGTAACTCATTTGAACAACTAGAAGACACCTTGAACGAGGACTTAAAAATCTTACAAAACTATTTTCTACAGTGGTATCTCACCCTAAATGCAAACAAAACAACAGCTGTGACTTTCCACCTAAATAACCGCGAAGCGAAAAGAGAACTCCAGATAAAAATTGGTGATATAAACATTTCCAATGAAGAATGCCAAGAAGTACCTAGGCGTCAAACTCGACAGGACACTAACTTTTAAACAACACCTTGATTCAACAAAAAATAAATTAAAATCGCGAAATAATATCATCGGTAAATTAGCTGGGACTAGTTGGGGCTGTAACGCAAGTACGTTGAGAACTTCGGCATTATCTTTAGTGTTTAGCGGTGCTGAGTACTGCACGCCCGTATGGATGAGAAGCGCTCATTGCAAAAAAATTGACGTCCAACTAAATGTAGCCATGAGAACAATTACAGGGACAGTTAGAAGTACTCAAACCCAATGGCTACCTGTTCTCGCACACATCGACCCCCCAGAAGTTAGGAGACAAAGAGCTTCCCAAAGTACCATCAATAAAATTAAAAGGAATGATGATGATGACCGGCCAATCTACAACGACCTAGTACATCACCCAAATAAACGGCTTAAATCCAGACACCCCATTTGGGAAGAAGCAACGACCGACGCTGATCCACAGGTTGAATGGAAAAAGACATAGCTAGAATCTAACATACGAAACTCATCTCTGATCAAAGATCCAACAGCAAAAACACCCGGTTTTAATTTACCGCGTGCCTTGTGGACCACCTTAACTCGCATTCGAACCGAACAAGGAAAATGTAATTACCTACTACATAAATGGGGTATTTATATGGGATTTTTTAATACTCTTTGAACTTGTAAATCAGATTTTTCAATTATATCTGGCGTCTCTATTAAATTATTGGTAGACATGGTTGAATTTTCATCACTGATATCTGAGTATTTATCAACATTCAATACACAATATGGAGTATATTCTGGACTGTTATAACATTCTTCTGAGGTTGTAAATGTGTCTTAAGTATTTAAATCAATATCTGGAGCTTTTCCAATAATTTCTGATGTGGAGTCACTATCCATTTGATCTACTGCGGAAAATCTTTCAGATGTACTTTTTGAAGTATTTAACTCTAAAACAATATACATCAAAAGAAACTATTAGTTGTTATTCATTAAACTGCAGACTTAACAAAAGTATTTTGACGTGCATTACGCCGGTCCCCCCACTTCTAAAAATAATAATTATTTTACTATGTATAATTAGTACGTAATTAGTATGAATTTGTACGACCATTTTTGAAATTTGTACGCAACTCGTTCTACGAGAAAAATCCATTTTTGTGCGGTGGGCTGGGGTAACGTTATTCCAGCCCTTCGCAACCGCTTAAACACTGTTTATAGCAACTTTAAGTATACCAATAATTAGTACGTAATTAGTATGAATTTGTACGACCATTTTTGAAATTTGTACACAACTCGTTCTACGAGAAAAATCCATTTTTGTGTGGGGGGGCTGGGGTAACGTTATTCCAGTTACTCGCAACCGCTTAAACACTGTTTATAGCAACTTTAAGTATACCAATAATTAGTACGTAATTAGTATGAATTTGTACGACCATTTTTGAAATTTGTACGCAACTCGTTTTATGAGAAAAATCCATTTTTGTGTGGAGGGGGGGCTGGGGTAACGTTATTCCAAAAACAGAATATAAAAAATGGAAATATGCATATAATTACAAATGTATTTAGTTATCAAATTTTTTGTAAAATAATTTATAAATTGTTGCGTCTTACTAAATAGTAAAAATATAGTTTTATATAGTTTGATAATATTTCGGTTTATTTTGGTATTGTTTCTGCCCGACCCGGTCCTCCAAAAATATTTTATAAAAAGTGCTGGATCGGGCTTTTTTGGTATACATTTGTTGAATAGGGCTTTTTAAGAATTTTTTACATTTCGCCTGGGCATTTTTAGGTTTTTTTTTTGTATGACATGTAATTATTTTTTAAAACCAAAATGATAAGTTAGGAAATGTTGGAATAATCACTAATAACGAATATTTTAATATATTTTAAATAAATATATTTTGGACTGGACCAACCTGGCTTTAAAAAAAATTGTTAAACTGGGCTGAGCCGTACATGGTACATTGGTACATCTATAGAATACTCGTATATGATAATCTAGATATTCACTATTTTTGTTTTTTAGATATTTATAATAATTAGTTATAATATGATATTTTTTAACATTTGTTTTTATTGTATATTTGATAATTTTTAATATTCATATTTTTATTTTAAAGTGGAACCGTACATCTTGCGTAAATTATTGTAATATTATTATACAGAGTGATTTTTTCATCATTGAACACTCATTATTTCAAAAAGTATTGATTTTTTTGTAAATTTTTTTTAAAAATAACTTTAGTCTCATACTTTTCTATATTTGTATACATTTTTTATATTTTTCACCCCTATATTTATTAGGTAAACCACAATTGACTTTGATTTTCGATTGACAACCTATATAAATAATTGCATAAATTAATAAAGCTATTTTTTTCATGAATTTTAACGTAATATTTTCAACTTTTGTTAATTCGTTGCTGAGTTATAGCTGCTCAAAGTTGGGTGGTCTTGGAAGTTTATTGTGTGTAAATGTGTTATGCCTGGTCGGTTTAATAGATACCCCACCATCAGGATTTTCATATCCCAATTCAAAAGATATTACACTTTTTAAATCAATTCAAGTAGTGCAGTAAGCTAAAGGGGCGCACACGAATTGCGTACCAAAACAGGTAAACGAACCTTTTTGAACGAATTGCGTCCCGGACGCAATTCATGTTACCTTTTTATCTAGAGGTGAGAGGTTCTTAAAGTGAAAACATAATATCGTATATTATAATAAATCGTCATATATTCACATATTTTTAAAAAATTTAAATTGTAAAATCATAATATCATAGGTTATCCGTTATAAGTAATTGTTAATATCACAAGTATTAATTTAATTTTGTCTGTATTTATATTTATTGGCTAATATGTTAACATAATCTTTGATTGTGATTTCATTATTATTTAATTGATTTATTTTATTTTCTATAAATTGTATTCTTTCCTTTATTGGTTTTCTTGGTATACTCGTCATTTTTCTAGACTCATTCTTATCAATATTGTTGTATTGGTTTGCATATTTTTTTAAATTTCTAAAAATGTGTATATATTTGGATGAGGAGAATCGAAAAATTTGTTAAATTTTGAATGAAAAGATTCGCAAGCGTTGGTGGTTCTTTGTGAGCTTGAACTTTTTTCTGCCCATAAGTCTGGAGGAAAAATTGAATTTTCATGGATGTAGGTATGTATCTATTAAATAATTAGCAAACTCTGTAATTTTGTGTTCATCTGGTTGAATAGCAGACATTTCAAACTAAAAAATATCTCCAATTTCTTGTGGTTCTAGGAAAGATAATCCAAATGTCAATGCTAAGTACTTGCCTATTTCATTATTTTGGATATAGTCTGAAGCCAAGCCTAGTTCTTGTATTTTTCTCCACCAAGACTGGCCGAGATGAAATCGATAACCTCTTATTAAGGTTTTTGGCCATGTTTTATTAACTGCATTGTGTATTGAATTTTCAAAATCCACGTAAATTATTGTTGGGGAAAATGAGGGATTTATTTTGCTTATATCGTGATTAATTGCTTTAAATGCCTCAAAGTAACTCAATGTTTGTTTATCTTTTAATAAAAAAATACAAGTGGAACATAATAACCATTATGTAATCCATGAATTGTGAATAACTGACAGAAAAATTTAGTACAGTATTCAAAAGTTCCATCTACATAAAATATATTTATTTTGCTAAAAAAGCTTAAGTTAATATATAAAAATATGTTAAGGCAAAAATTAACATGAATTGCGTCCGGGACGCAATTCGTTCAAAAATTTTCGTTTACCTGACTTGGTACGCAATTCGTGTGCACCGGAGCCTAAAGTTGTGCCCCTAAATGTATTGTATAATGTATAATACTCATTTGACTGGGTGTCGGGCGGTTCACCGCACTAAAGGTGATCTCGCTACCGGTCATAATAATACTTATCAAATATAAAGACCAGAAGTTAAAAGTAATAAATTTGATATCGTTCGACGTTCGAACCCAACAGGTATTATAGCGATAAGCATCGTAACTACTCGCTAGTCGCTACAATAACTTATTGTCATATTTTAAGTAATTAGACCAGCGTTTCTCAAAGTGTGGGTCACGACCCACTGTTGGGTCGTCAGTCAATTTTTGGTGGGTCGCGAACAATTTTTTGAACTTTATAGATTCCAAGAAATGTATGTTGAATGAATATTATACTTATCTTATTGTAGTAATATAGTAACAACAATTACGTGGTTTATTGACTAATAAATAATAATTCATGTTTTCAAATTATATAGATTCCAAGAAATTGGATGAATTGTGAGTAATAATGATTACTAATAATTCGTCATATAATTATTACGATGGATATTAAATTGTCGTTATCGGAAGAATTCCGCGATAAAATACAATTAAGTCGCAACTCGATAACAACGACTATCAATCGTTAGTCACTAACGGACTAAGTTGTACCTGCGCTTGCTGGTTGTTATTTTATTTACCGTTTGTGCAAGTTTATAATACGTATAGTACTATAGTTTATAATACGGGTGTTTTGTGAGTTCGTTTTGGTGCTATTTCTGCAACAAATTATCAACAAAAATTTGATGATGGATAAATGGTTGATGAATAAGCGAACATTTGAAACCACTGAAGATGAACCTTCAACTTCGAATTTAAATATAAAACGAAAAAAAGTGACGAGAAAGTATGATTCAGAATACCTGAAAATTGGTTTTTCTTGGAATGAAGATATTGATGATCCACGACCACAGTGTATTATTTGTTATGAAATGCTTGCAAACGAGAGTATGCGTCCTAATAAATTACGTCGACATATTGACACCAAGCATTTTGATCTAAAAAATCAGCCACTCTCTTATTTTGAAACAAAGCTGAAAGAACTAAAAACGTCCAAAACAAAAATTAAGCAGTTTACCAAGGTCAATGAAAAAGCTATGCACGCTTCGTACCTGATAAGTTTACGAATCGCAACAGCTGGTAAACCGCACACAATCGGAGAGAATTTAGTGTTGCCAGCGATAAAAGATGCAGTTGGAGTAATGTTTGGTGACAAGAGTTCAAAAGACGTTGAAATGATATGACTATTAAATGATACTGTTGAACGTAGAATTAATGAAATGTCTCAGTGGACAGAAGATGAGTTAATTCAAAGTGTTCGTAAAAGTAGCTTTTTCTCGCTACAACTAGATGAATCTACCGATGTTCAAGGTTTATGCCAGTTGCTTGTATTCATACGTTATATATGGAACAATGGACCTCATGAGATATGCTGTTTTGTGAACCAATTATTCGAGGTACTAGCGAAGAAATCTTCAACACCCTTGATTGTTATTTCAATAAAAAAGGTCTTGATTGGGTGAAATGTGTCGGATTATGCACGGACGGTGCTAGAGCTATGTGTGGTAAAAATAGTAGTGTTGTAACTCGAATGCTTGAAGTTAGTCCGAATGCATTGTGGACTCACTGCAATATACACAGAGAAGTTTTAGTATCAAAACACATGCCGGATAACTTAAAAAACGTTTTGAACACTTCTGTGAAAATAGTCAACTTCATTAAGATAAGGCCATTGCAATCACGCTTGTTTGAAAAGTTGTGCGAGGAGATGGGAAATTCTCATAGATCACTTCTTTTACACACTGAGGTACGTTGGCTGTCAAGAGGGAAAGTATTAACACGACTTGTGTAACTCCGTGAAGAAGTTGCATTGTTTCTAAAAGAAAAAACTGATTTGGCACAATTTTTGTACAATGAAGAATTTATTCTGAAGCTCACGTATTTAGCTGATATATTTTCGAAACTTAACGAACTAAATTTATATTTACAAGGAACACAAGGAGCCGATATTTTTGCGGTTCATGACAAAATTAAAGGTTTTATGAAAAAACTTACTTTATGGCAAAGCAACATTGAAAAGCAAAATTATGATTGATTTGAAACATTTCAAACTTTCATAACTGAAAATTATATAAAATGCTCATGACATAATTAGCCATATCAGTTTGCATTTAATTTCGTTGAAAGATAATTTTAATTTTTACTTTCTTGAAGAAATGAAAAAATATGAACAAAATAGCTGGGTTGTGAATCCGTTTCAGAAATCTATATCCACTGGCATATCGACAAAAGCCGACGAAGAACTCATAGATTTATCAGAAAATTCATCTTTAAAACTTCAATTTAGCCGCAATAATGTGATTCAGTTATGGCTGTCGTCTCAACAAATATTTCCAATTCTTTCAACTGAAGCTATAAAAATACTACTCCCTTTCTCACCTTCATACATGTGTGAAGTTGGATTTTCGGCAATGGTGGGCATCAAAAACAAACATCGAAACAAGCTAAAATTATCGAACTCCTTACGTTTGAAAATAACTAAAATTGACGTCGATGTCATTGCTGTTATTAACCATAATAGAAAACAAGCACACACTTCCCATACACCTCATTATTAAAAGTACATTTGTAAAATTAATGTACTTATTAATCTACTATATTATTAATGTACTATTTAAAATTAACCTATAAAATACTAAATACCTAATAAAAATGTATACATATTTATATAATACAAATTTTGTTTTTTATTACCTACTTTTTGAAAAGTGAAACAAAGTGGGTCGTGAAAAATTTTTCGGGGGGAAATTTGGGTCGCAGTACTAAAAAGATTGAGAAGCACTGAATTAGACCATTAGTGTCATTCGTCGCATACTCGCGTACAAATGTACAATCTCCTCGACCCCACTTCATACCTATGGAGTTAGGAGTACGGACTACACAGAACAAAACGGTTAATACTACGGTATGGTTTATTAGGCTGATTTGCGATTAAGTGATATCGTGGGTAAAACATACCAATTTTGATCAGATGTTATTTGTATTGTTCTGTGCACGATTAAAGATAGTACCTACTATCTTATATTATACTGATATTATGGTTCCATGGTTACATGATATGGAAGTAAACCTGATACCTGGTTAACGTTAATCATATACCTACAATACGTTGAGTAATAAACTGTTAGGTTATAATGTTATAAGATAAGTCATAAGAAGAAAATTTGAATCGTGAATTGGTATTAAAGTATTTTATTTTTTAATACTTCACAATTTTAATGATGAATTTATAATATTATTTGTTCTTGTATAATATACTTAAATTATGATATTTACCACATATTGTATTTTATTTAACAATTTAATCAAACATTTAAGTAGGTACCTAAATTGGTTAATCACACGTGAATTGGATACTTGGCGAGTGCATTTGTACAATGTATTGGTAAGTTTTACTAGTTGGTAGTTACAAAAATTAAAATTAATAATACAATATATCTCATTAACTTAAGACATTTTGATTTTAGTTTCATCATTAATACATATACAATTTTTGTTCAAATGTATACCTAACCAATGGAACACTGGTACTTACTGGATAATACTTGGCTTGTTATACGTACAATCAAGTGAAAACAGACTACAAAATTATATTAATTACAAACAAATATTTTAGATTGTCAGGATAATTACAAAGAAGTGGAAAAAATCTAGTTGGACTATAACTACACATTACCAATGATATACTGTAATGAAAAGATGATGTTGTAATCGCAGAAAATATAGAAGACATAACTAACATGCACAAAAAATTAACGACACGCTTAAAGAACACTTCATGAAAATAAATCAACGGAATACTAAGATCTTTATATGTAGCAAACAGCAGATTTGTGCAAACATAGCTTTAGATGGAATATTGCCGGAGACGGTTCAAAGCTTCACACACTTTGAACACATACTTCACAAGCGATGGGAAGGTCGTACAAATACAGTAGGTATGTAAAATAGCGCAAGTAAAACAGGTCTACTATAAAAAAATAAATCTTTTTACTTCAAATAGAATAAGTTTAGACAACAGGAAATCACTTATAAAAAGCTTTGTGTAGAATTTAATTATATATGGAGCAGAGACTTGGACAATACTGAAAGCTGAGAAAGCCAAATAGAATGTTAAAAATGTTAAAAACTCCATGGAGAGAAAAGATAAAAAATGTTGATGTTTTCAAGAGAATGAATACCGAAAAATCAACATGGAATACTCTAAAATTGAGAAGAAAAGCATGGATTGGACACATAATAAGGAATAGTCCTTGGATAACCACAATAATTGATGGAAAAATCGAAGAATAACCTGGAAGAGGAAAGCCTAGAACTCCCTTATGAAGTAAGTGATGGAAGATACTGGAATATACTGGGAGTTGAAGAGGATTATAATTGATAGAGATAAATGGAGAGGGACATCAATAATCATTTAACCAATCTTCGGACTGAAAAAAAAAAAAAAAATAATGTATTGAAACCTAAAAATTATGTTAATGTTAAAGTTTTATAATTTGTATGATATTTTATAAATAATTTAAATGAGGTGACAACATCAATCATTACAACTCAAAATAGAATATACATAGATATAGATATTATGTATGTTGTGTTTAATACATACAATATAATATTATGTAGATTGTGCAAATAAAATTAACTCAATAAATATTTTTTATTTAAAATCATACTGCGTTACATTGTATAATGTCATAATGATAAATACTAAATATAATAGGTACTAATTATAAGTACTAAATTATTTCTGTCAATGATTGGTATTGTCATTAAATAATAATTACTAAATTCAAGTTAGAATATTATTAACAACATTTTTTAATTTTGCTTTTGAAGTTTAGGGTTATTGTAAAGTTTGTTTTAATTTTTTGAATACATGTTATATCTCTACTCATATTTTGCATAACTGCAAAACGAACATGTTGATTAAACTGTATCATCATTTTGAAATAGGTTTTTCATAGTCCTGGACTTATTAAAGTAAAACTATTTAATGGTTCATAATAATATCAGTATAAAATTTGAGGAATTCTGTCGTGAACAGGGTTCAGGGCTAAAAAGAACTTAAGATCATCAAATCAAACTTTCAAAAAAAAAATAACATTTAAATAGGTAACCAAAATTAAGCAAACTAAAAATTGGATATTATCTCCCTAATCTTTGTTATTGGTCATCACTTGAATCATATTAAATTAGAAAATACACATTAAAAAACTTAAAATGCGTCAAAAAGTATCCATCTAAAATATTGTGTAAAGGTTGTTTGATTTTTTATATTTATTGTATTTACTCTCATTTCATTATAAGATAATTTTAGAAATTTTAGGTAATTTTAAAAGTTTCAAGTTAAAATCAAATTACCATTGGAACTATTTGTCATTTGATATTATATCAGTAAGTGTATTAAGCAAATATTTGTCTCAAACCATGTTCATGACATCAAAATGATTTCTTACATAAAATATAATTATTTGAGCTTATCAGTGCTCTGGAATATGTATTTTTATTTTAAATTGTAAGTAAGCAAATTGTAGTAGGATGCCAAATTCTGATGTAACATATTTTGTAAATGACAACGGCAGATACAGACTGTAAAAAAATGAGGGAGGCAGTTATAATTTATGTAGCTTAAAAAAAGAAGGTTCTCCATTAGCAGCCATCGCATTGCCTCCTTTGCTCTTTGCCCATGTCTTGTATCTGCTATTTGGTAAATTATGGTGTTGTTTCCTATTTATTGTGAAATTTGTATTTACTAACTAAAATTAGTAAACTATGCATTAAGAAATGTTGATATATGTATTTAATTAAAATCATCTATGAAAAATTTAAATTTTGAAAAAAACCTTGTGACATTAAAATAAGTCGTTTTCTTAAGATATAATTGTGTTTGACAAATAATTCCAATTAACATATTTAATTCAATAGGTATGTGCCTATTATTTTTACATATAATCATAGAATGTTTATTTCATTAAAAAATTCTATTTCTTACATTCACAGTGCACATTGAAAAATAGATTAATTATTTTTTTGTAAACAAATCATTTTTTTTTTTCATAAAAATTAATATTTAAATTAATTATTTTCATATTGATTAATTAATGTTTAATATTTAATTTTTTTTATATAAAATACAATTATGTTTACTTGTATAATTTTAATTTGTTAAATAAATTATTGATACTTCATTCTTTTATTTATATGTATACTTATTAGAAATATCACCCACAGTAAAGGAAATTCCCAATGTTGATTATATCAATGGTCATTCTCTGACAAATTAATAATTTGTCAGTACCTACAGTAACTGTTATTAGCAGTACACCTTGTTAATTTATTGAATTACAAAATAATTTTTTTTCTTCATTTTAAAATGAATTATTCTGAGGAAAAGATCAACGTGTTAGCTTGCTACAACGAAACCGGGAGAAACTCTAGAGCTGCAACAAGGTTTATATATAATTATGTATTAAATATATTTCTTTTCTTTACATTTGAGTATACAACATAATAAATAAAAACACGAATAACAATAATATGTATCTTTGAAAAAAAAATATTTGCACATCCAATATTTTATTAAATATGTATAGATTATATAAAAATCGGTATCCTGATCGCCCTTGTCCGGCACATTCACTGTTCTCTTATTTGTATAAAACTCTGCATGATTTTAGAGTATTCCAGCTAACAAAACGTAGAATTTGTACGGTTACCAATGAAGAAAATTCATTTGCAGTTTTGGCCAAGTTCAGTGAAAATCCACAAATATCTTTGAGAGTTGTAGCAGATACCTATCTTTATAAAATAAAATAAAAACATAAGTTAATCCTACATTTTAAATTTTAAATTTTAGATGAATTGAACATATCATATTCTTCTGTTCAAAAAATTGCTAGAAAATATAAATATCACGCATACCTGTATTCCCCTGCTCAATTTCTCCAACCAAATGACTATGAAAGGCGTGTTAATTATGTAGCTCACATCATGGTGGAATCAGACGAAGATTCGCATTTTTTAAAAAAGATTATGTGGACTTATGAAGCAAGGTTTCACAACAATGGCACTGTAAATCATCATAATAATCACTTTTGGAGTGATTCAAATCCTCACCTTTTTAGTGAGACTCACAAGCAAGTTCGTTGGGGAGTTAATGTATGGTGTGGAATAATTGATGAGTTTTTAGTAGGTCCATATTTTTTTTGAAGAAAATCTTAATGGAAACAGATATCTTGATTTCTTCAAAAAAGATTTGCCACTTTTGATGGAAAATATTCCACTTCAACAGCGTTTGTATTTAATATGGCAGCAAGATGGCGCACCAGCCCACAATACCCTAGCTGTACATGCATACTTGAACAAACTTTATGGGAATAACTGGTTTGGAACCCATAGCCCCAAAATACAATGGCCACCACGTTCACGTGATTTGAGTGTTCTGGACTTTTTTTGGGGGGGGGGGGGTTCTAAAAAATGAAGTTTACAAAGAAGAATTAAAGAATGTAGAAGAGCTTAAAACAAAAATAAAGGAATGCTGCAAAAAAATTAAATCTTCAGTGATAAGTAAAGCTACATCAACTGAAGTGATGAAGCGTCTAACATTTTGTTTAGCCGAAAATGGTAAACAGTTCGAACATTTATTAAAATATAAATAATTATTATTATAGGTTGTAATATTATTTAATATCATAATACATGTTAAGTTATACATATATGTATAATATTTGTATATTGCCTTGTATCTAATTTATTCTTCTTTAAATCATATTCTTTATGTTATTAAGGCCCGGTTTTTCAATCATTTATTTATTCGCGAGATAACTATCTGTCGAATATATTTATTCTAAGGATAAACTTCCGAATAAAATGATAAGTGTTTTTCAATGTAAATTTGTCTACTAGATAGCTATTCAGCGAATAAAGTTATTATCATAGGTTACCTAGTATGGTATAAAAAACCATTTTGTTTACAATAGATTGGGGAACAAATTGCAAATTTTTACTTGATTATTATTGGTCGATATTTTATGCTTATCATTGATAAACTATCTCACGTCGAATTCCCGGTAAATAACGTTATCATAATTCATAATTATTAACAAATTATTATTACATTTTTTTTATAATATAAAAATATTAAATATTATAATTGAGTGTGAAGTTGTTGTCTTTTAATTCATCTTTGTATCTTCTATTTGTAATTAACATGTCGTCTAAAGTCTCAAAAGAAATAAAAAGGTCCAGAGCAACTAATTTTTCTTTTATCGAAAAGGAATTAATGTTAAAGTATGCAATACAATATAAGCATATTATATTAGAAAATAAAGAATCTAATGCGACATCGTGGAAAGAAAAAAACAAATGCTGGTCTAAAATTGCAGATTGTTATAATTCTACTTCAACAGGCTGTGTAAGTAAATCTTTATTTTTTATTTAATTAAAAAAATTGTTGTGGAGGTTTTGAAAATAAAAATGTTGTATTTATTGTTATTCAGTACAGAGATGCTTCGAGTTTACGCATGAAATATGAAGGAATCAAAAAATTACTAAGAGGAACGAAGAGTGAATTATTTCAAACTGGAGGTGGTCCTCAAAAAAATGCTTATACTGCTTCTAGTGAATATGAAAAACAACTTTTTGATATAATACAACTGTCAGTGGAAGGATTGCCCGGTTTTTTTGATAATGATGACAGTAAGTTTTTTTTATTATTTACATAATATTTAATATAAAAAAAGAACAATGGCTTATATAGAAATTATGTCCACTATACTTTTCAGTTTTCAGTACTGGTTGGTATTTCCATAAATACAAATTAATAATAGAATATTAATAGTAATCATTAAGTTTATGAATTTTTATTTAAAAAACATTTAAATTCTTTTTTAAGTTGGAGCAGAGACAAGTACCAGTGATCTGACCAGTAACAATATTATTGTTCTTAACATAGATGCTGATAATGAAGGTATTTTTATTTTAAATAATTTTGTTTCGGTGTTTATTTCAATATGGTATTTAACTTTGTAACAAACAATAGTGTTTGCTGATGACAATGATGAGGTATTGAACTCTCCTACTGATTTGCTAGTCAACAGTCAAAAAGCTAGTTGTAGTTCATTTGATGATCAAACTTGGACTCCCTCTTGTGCAACAAAGCTTTTAAGAACAACACCAAAGCATCCAAAACTAACAGGTAAATAAATAATCTAAATACAGTTTTAAATTTTAAATATGCCTATAATAGTATTTCAACAAAATTATTTGTTATTAATTGTTATTTTTAAAAACAATAGTTTTTGCTGAGGACAATGATGAAGTATTGAACTCTCCTACTGATTTGCTAGTCAACAGTCAAAAAGCTAGTTGTAGTTCATTTGATGATGATCAAACTTGGACTCCTTCTTGTGCAACAAAGCTTTTGAGAACAACACCAAAGCATGCAAAACTAACAGGTAAATAAATAATCTAAATACAGTTTTAAAATTTAAATAGGTATGCCTATAATAGTATTTCAACAAAATTATTTGTTATTAATTATTGTTTTTAAAAACAATAGTTTTTGCTGAGGACAATGATGAAGTATTGAACTCTCCTACTGATTTGCTAGTCAACAGTCAAAAAGCTAGTTGTAGTTCATTTGATGATCAAACTTGGACTCCCTCTTGTGCAACAAAGCTTTTGAAAACAACACCAAAGCATACAAAACTAACAGGTAAATTTATAATCTAAATATAGATAAAGTATTTTCAAATTTGTGTTTAAATTTTAAATATGCCTATAATAGTATTTGGAAAAAATATTTGTTTTTATTTTTTATGCTTATTTGTTGGCTGTATTATTTATTTATAAATAACATTCACTTTATTCTTGGAAATTAGATTATAAAAAAATTTAAAATACTGTTTAAATAATCAGGATCACAGGAAATATTGCATATTATTGTAAATCACTAACAATATTTACTTATGTACTTAATTATATGTATAATATAATATATTATTATAAGCATTGTATAAATATTTTATAATATAGGCCTCTTGTATAAAGTATCAATGAAGTAATGTTTTTTGGTATTAGGTTCAAATATAATTTTAAAATATATAATTTTATTCCAATCCAAATTTACTTTGATATTAACACAATTTATATCAAATAGTTTGTAACATTTTTTAAACGTTTGCAGCAACATAAATTGTATAGAAAAAAGCCTAAAACTGTAAAAATGAATAAAAAAAATGTATTTAATTAAACTAAAAATATAGGTATAAAATTAAAGAATTTTAATTTTTAGCAAACAAAGGTTTAAAAAGAAAAAACAACTGCCAGGCATCAGCTAGTGAAAAGTTTTCTTTATTAGCAGAAAAAAAATTAGAATTGGTTGAACTACAAAATACAATTTTGGTCAAAGAAGAAATTTTGTTAGATGAGAAAATAGTTTTTCTTAGAGCTAAAAATGCACTTAAGTTAGAATCATTAAAATTAGATATATCTAACAAAAAACAAAAGTTGGAGGATAAATAAATTACTCCTGATATATATTGTACATTACTTTAATAACTTATTACTTACCTATAAATATTTGTTAATTTATAATAAAAATTGTAAGGTAAAAAACATTACTATTAATTTAAGTATTAAACATTTGTTAAATTTTTTATTTAATTTTTACAAATATTTAAATTTTGTTATTTTTATTATATATAATGTACATTACTTTAATAACTTATTACTTACCTATAAATATTTGTTAATTTATAATAAAAAGTTTAAGGTAAAAAACATTACTATTAATTTAAGTATTAAAAATTTGTTTATTTTTTTATTTAATATTTACAAATATTTAAATTTTGTTATTTTTATTATATAGGTACAATAATTAATTTTGTTTCAATTATTATTAATTATTTATTATTATTTGTTATTATTATAAACATTACATTTTGTTATTTTTATTAAATAAATATTAAAGATATGAAAAGTATTCATCTATTAATTGTTGTCTTGCATTTCCTTCATCAATATGGTGTTCTATTATGTTCATATTTTCATTATCTGGTAAAACTATATCTAGTAGAGCTGGTGGATCTGTATCTTTATTATCAATAGCTATGTTATGTAAAACACAACAGGCTACAATAACAGCTTGAGTAGTTTGTAATTTCAACCGTGACCCAAAAGATAATATTGGAAATCTCCGTTTTAGAACACCATAAGATCTTTCAACAGGATTCCTAGTCCTAATGATCGACTCATTATATAGTTCTTCAATGTCGTTTCTTGGATTTATGAAAGGTGTAACAATCCGTAGAGAATTTGCATAGCCACTGTCAGCTACTATCAAACTGTTTCCCCATTCACCACTGTTTAACCTGTTAAAAAACCTTGATTTCTTGAGTATTGTATAGTCGTGACACGATCCTGGCCAGCGTGCTACAACATCCATGATTTTTAAGTCAGGACATGGTACAGTTTGTACATTCAATGAAAAGTATCCTTTTCGGTTTCTGTAGTATTCAGCGTTAGGTCCACCTATATTAACGTGTTAATAATTTTTATTTATGCAATACCAACACAAAATAAATTCATTATCTGCTACTAGCATTGAACTTACATTGTGGGAAAAAATTAAAAAATGTTAATAATTTATTTTTATTTTTAACAGTTTCTAATAATTAATAATTAATATAGCTACTTTGTTGTTCCTACAACAATAAAACAACACAGTTTTTAAGTATATAAGTATATAAGTATATAAACATTAAGGTGAACAAAGCAATATAGATATTATGAATAAACTATAACAGATAATGAAAAATATTCTAGCATTATATTACCAGGATTTTGAATTTTTACATGAGTGCAATCAATTGCCCCAATTGTCCTAGGAAATTTAGCAATTTTATAAAAACTTTTTTGCATGGTAGGTATTTCACTTTCAATTGGCATTTTAACAAAAATAGGTCTAAGCTTTGCAATGGCAGTACTGACATCACGTACAATTAGAGAAGCAGTGGTCTTGCTAACTCCCATAAAATCTCCAGCTGTAATAAGGAAATTTCCTGTTGCATAAAATCTTAGAGCCAAAAGTAATTTTTCAATGGACGTCAAGGCATGATTTCTAAAATTGAGAAATAACATTTAGAAATGTAATAACGTAAAAAAGAGGAAAGATAAATAAGGCGCTTGCCAATATTTATATTAAAATAAAGTGTTAGAAATTTACCTGTCAGACCGTGAAGATATTTGATCGTTTATAAATCCCAACACTTGTATAACTAAATCCTTTGAAATTCTGAACCTTGCTCGAAAATCTTCATCATCTCAGATATTCATATGATCGCGTTGGTCTAAAATGCAGACCGGTAAATTGCAGACTGCAGACCACGAATGCACGATAAGAGAGCCCAGGGGTTCGCACACGATGTAGAGAAGATAAGGTGACACCACTTGTACATATTCCGGTCGCAAATTTTCTCGGCAGTGTGGTAGGTAGCGCCACCATTCGCCCGAAGGCCGGTTTTTATATTGTGAATACATTGTTTTTAACGTAAAATTTCAAAAATTATATACATTTTTGTCGTTTTTGACACTATTACTTCAAATTTATAATATTAACCACGTAAGAATTATTTTTAGGTAATCATTCTATTCAATTAGGTAACATTTAAAATAGTTTAAATTAAGAAAGTTTTATTATATAAGTATTTTATTTCAACAACTTTATGTACACGGTTATATAAGTTTCGACTGCTTCGCTAAATTTTTTTGTCTTTTATTTTTTTCTCGATTAGCATTCTCTGCATCACATACAAAATACATTCTTGATTGTAAATAAAATGTTATAATATTTTTGGTCAATGCATTTGCATGTTCATCACAACCGAGTAAGTTAATATTAAATTTTTCTGTTCTTAGCTCATCTAATATTAAAAATAATAAATTTTTTTGGATTTTAGTTCTTGCAATAATTGAGCAAATGGCATCTTCAAGCTAAAACAAATAATAAAGGAAATTATTATACCTATATATTTTGAGTTTTTATTAACAGTTAAACTGTTTAAAACTCGTCCTTATCCATACTTATTGTACGTAGATATTACTAATTCCATTTTTGTACATATATGTGTCAATGAATAAATAAACATATAAATATCATAAAATAAATATGCATTTTATTTAAATCAATAAATTTATACGATATGGCTACATACCATATAATATTATTACAATTTTTACATAATAATTGGTACATGATTCCAAAACATTAGTTTATTTTAATAATCTATACAATATAACATAAAATATATTATGTTGGCAAGCTGACTATCGACATTTGAACAACAATAATTAATACATTTAAATAAAATTTAAATCTATCTCCATTACGACTCGTATAAAAGTCGGCCTTCGAACGAAGGGTGGCGTACTCTGGTGTTAAATTCTGAACTACCAAACTGCCGTGATTTTTTGCGCCAATATTGTACCATTGAAAGATACGGGAGCGGTGTCACCTTATCTTCTCTACATCGTGGGTTCGCAAAACGTTTATCAAATTCTTATCATAATCTGTTCTGTTTATCTGTGGTCATACCCCTTGGTATAATTTATTACCCGCCTAATATTCAAATTTAATTAATAATTATGGACCGCAGTAAATTTTAAATTTTTATATTGTATTATTTATATAATAATAATATAATATAATTGTATTATTTTTATTTTTAATTCAATGTATTATGTATTAATTAGCTACTTATAATAAAGTTTAATTAATAATAGATAAGAATTAATAAGATAATTAATTTATAAATGAATAATAATAATTAATACTATTATTTAAGCTGTTACTGGATGGCTAAAAGTTAAAACATGCAGGTGATCAAAGCTAGGCAAAGTTCTGTATAACTTATAGTTTCCCTATAACAGAAAAATCAGTTGAAACCGATGTCAATTTCGTTATGGCAGAAAAAATTTACCTTTCCGGACCTTTTGCATGTTATTTGATACAAATTTTAAAGTTGTAACATGTATTGTACTAACTATTTTTATTTTAACAAAATAAATTATATGTTAAATTAATTTATTATATTGATTGTATAAAATGTTGTTAAAACTTAAAAGCTATAGGTATTATGTTTACGTGTATTTAGTATATTACATTTGTCTAACGATCTTTATAATTATTAATAAATAGTAAATACTTAATATAAATAACTTTTAGAATTATTACGTCATGTACCTATTTCGTATGTTAATAAAAAAAACAAAATATTATTTATTCAAATATGAAAATATATCTTATTTTAACTGTTAACCAATCATACCTATTTTACAAATGAGTAATTACGTGTATTGGTGAGTGCACTAAGAAAAGTTTATGTATTATAATATTATAATAATAATGTGGCGTACATAATTTTTGTGGGGGCTGGGGTCAGAAAAAAAATTTAAACCTCGGTAGTAAGCAATAAACATGCACATAAAATAATAAATAACTAAATATGTATAGGTAATATAAGTTATAACATTTTATTTCAAAACCACAAACAATTAAACCAGTGGCTTCATTTTAGGTGTGCAGGGTATGCTTATCCCTCATGCACATAGATTAGAGGACAAATGGACTAAATTGTTGTATTTTCGATATCCAGATTTCCTATTTTTTCCGAAGGATTTTCCTAAAATTTTCTTTCGTAAAAATCTTAAAAAAAATTTGAGCCAAATCGGACCGGACACCGAGACTCCCAGAAGAAAAATGCCGCCCGCAACTGAGTTCGAACCTGCGACGGTGCGCGTCATAACCGACGCCTTAGTCCGTTAGTCCACTCGGCCACTCCGTCCCCCATTAAACATTATTTGGCACTTATTTTATTATTTCCAGTGGTTATAAATGAAAATTGCATTAAACACATATTATGCATAAATCCAATTTTTGACTTACTCTAACTTGGTCAGTTTTGAAAATAAAAAAAAACTTTTTAAACAATAAATGTTTAAAAAAAATACTCTACCCGAACCTGCAGAAAAAAACTGGGGTTGCCATTTAAAAAAAAGTGTGTTGTATTGCGCATGCCCATACCGAGTGAGCTAAAAATTTGAAATTTATCCAAAAATATGTACTTATGTACTCCCTATCACCTACCGTTTCAATACAAGGTCATGCACCTGAGGTATTTAGTGTTACCATAAATCGTGATCACACTGTATACGTATATAGATAAAACAACTAGGTATCTCAGTGGTTGGACCATATCACCACGAAAGACGTGTTATTAACAACTACACAGGAAACTGCCTTTAATTATGATAAAAATATAATATTATACCATGACCACAGCTGGTGACTTGAGGTTAGGTATCTTTTATAGTTTAGAAGTTTAAGTTTATAACTAGTAAGTGATAACCACGATTTCTACAACGAATGAATACCTGTTTAAAAAAAAGAAATATTAAACAAATGAATAATAAATTAGGTATTTTACTTTTTATATTACCTAGAAATGTCTTCGTTTTGCAATTTACTAATAATGGTGCTGCTGAATATTTTAATACTTGGAATAAAATGAACAAAATTTTAGTCCAAAAAAAAGTTTGGAAGAAAATGGAATCCAACCTCTTTTGGAGGAAAATGGACAGTGGAGGAAAACGGTATCTCATTTTTTGAGGAAATGGACCAACAAGTCTCGTGTCGGAGAGGGGCCAACCTAAGACACCCAAAACTGTAACTACAACCTGGTTTTCATTGTTCACAATTTTGTGCTCGAACGAGTTGCCGTTTACAATGACTATGATCATTATAGCTCGTAAATTCAGGCATTTACACATATATCTTGCTAAGTTGTATTTAATGCTAGAAGATGACATAGAAATCCATTTCAAGGTACCACGGTTAAATATGTGAAGTCTTATTATTTTACATGTTTTTGCATATTTAGAGGTTTTTTGCCTATTTGGCATATTTATGCATATTTCTATTTTATCGGGCATATTATACATGATTTTGATATTCCTTTTCATATTATTATATCAATATGCATTCTTTTTTTTGGAAAGAATCAACATTTGACGAAAAAAAAGGCGATCGTTTATCGAAAATTTCAGATGTAAGATAAATTACCTACTGATAAAGACAAAAATTATACGCAGTTCATGGGGAGACTCAGGAATAGAATTTAAAATCTATTTTTTTTTAATTGTGACATAAAAAATTAAATATAACTATAAAAAAATAAATTGATAATTCATGTTACTTCAAAAATTGTTTATGATTTTTTTAAGTAAACATTTTTTAAGTGCATAATTTTATATATTTAGCGCATATAAATGCATATTATTTTAACTCTTTAAGGCATATTATTTCAACGCATAAATTGCCAATTTTGAGTGCATAAATGCAAGGCATGTCAAAAAATATTTACCGTGAATTGTTTATTGTAAATAATGTAAATTATTCGAATCTATAACTAATATGGAAATACTGTATAAAGTATAAACACTATAGTCTATAATTTAGTTTTGGGTTGGTGAAAATGAAGTAGTCTAGTGTTGTATAAGCAAATTAACTTTTTTTAACTTAATAAAAAGTGTGTATTAACTTTTAACTTAACTGAGTTAACCTATAGTTAAATTAACTTTTAACTTTTCGTTATTGGTGCATCTTAACTTAACTGAGTTAAAAAAAATCATTAACTTGCCCAGCCTAGCATAAATGCATACCTACTTACGTATTTAGGCATTTTTTAGGGCATGAACTTACGAGCCCTGCTCATAACTCACTTAAAAACTAAATTATCGTAAAAAAAAACGACGTACAAACACAGATAATGTTCTTACCATCAAGTTTCATAATAGGTCGATTGACTCAAATTATTAAACTAACATAGTTAAAAGTTAAACGTGATCGGATGAGCGTAAATTTGATATTACGCACTTATAAGACGGAGACAACAAATATCTGTGTAGCGTCCTCTTAAAAAAGCTCCTAAATACATACAAGGATGGAATTCAAAATATATTAATAAATTAATATAATAAATTGGGATGTCTAATGACATTGAATACTTATTTTTTACACTCACGCCTAGATTTCATCCTGAAAACTTAGGTGCGGCAATTAATGAACTAGGTAAACGATTTCA